AATCTGAGGGTAATGGAGAGGTTGGACTGTGCCGGAGAACTATTAGTCAACCGGCAGATCGACTATTCGCCTGTCCTTCTCTCTAACCTCCTGTAGCACACAAGAGATCCATTCGCTGTCTTGTGTTTGAAATATTCGTTCGTTATGGCCTTGGTGGTTTTTAGATAATGGGTTTATGCATTATCGTGGAAAAAACTTACACCATTTCTACTGATTATATTCTTTTGATTATATAAAGAGATGGAAGACTTCAAAAGTTGCAACAGATTACGTTCAGCAAACAAAACAAAAGAAAACTATTGAGTTGGCGGAAATAGAACGCATCGAGGTACTGCTTCATTTTTCCATACATCTTACAGTGTTTTCTTACAATGTTATTCCAACCATATCCATCTATTGGCGTTGTAGGTTCGGAATAAGACAAGATGAGAGGAAACATAGCGGTGAGTCTCCAATTAACCTATTAATACGATTATTCTTTTTCACGATCTAGACGAAATCGGATGGTCATTATTTACAACAATGTCGATCAAGAAACACCTACCAATATTAATTTGGAAAGATTTGAGAATACTTGAAAATGAAACGCGATCACATGTGGACACCAAATAGTGGACGTAAAGTGGAAGAGGTTATATATGAGTTCGCACGAAAGTTGAAATTCGAATCTTATTTACACTTATTCATAGTTAATGAAACCGATACGCACACAAAATCACTTTTTTCTAAAGAGGAATGGAAAGAAATTAACGTCTCAGAAATTGGTAATAGGCTAGAACTTGAAGAGTCTCTTAAGGAATTATTAAAAAAATACACGGTTAATGATGTTGAAAAGTGACGAGAAGTTCTTCTCGAACCATTCATACCAAATGGATGCAAATATAATTGAAAATAACATTTTTATCTTGATTTCGTTAACCGTGTTTACCGAGGAATGCTGCCTTTGTGGGAAATGGATGAAAATGAGATAAATATTTGGAGTAACCTTGTCGGGATAAATCCTGCATCGAGTGACAGGAAAAATCTCGAAAGGACAACAGGGGATAGAAAGAGGATTGATCGAAAGGGACGTAATTTTTAGATTACATAAGGATCGTTTAGAATTAGGTGCGGGACACGCGTGGGAAGGGCAGAGCGGAACAAAATATATTGCAATCGAATGCAACATGAAAAGAAGACAATGTTAGAAAATTACACGTAACACGTAATAGGGATACTTCAGAGTGCAAATAGAATGCAGGTTAGTATTCGTAGTTGGTTAAAAATTTTTAGTTTGCAACTAAGAATTTAATTTCGAACTTTCCAACTAACTCTAATGCAAGTTATCACGGCTGACCTCTTCAAGGGATATGTCACTCGAATTCAAAGAAGTAAAGTTTGTGAAGTTTTAGCCCATTTAACACAATCTAAACCTCTTGCACTGATTTTAAAAGAAATATTTCGTACACCTCCTAGAAAGATCATTTATAACTCTAATGGTCGATGGAAAAAATCATAAATCATGAGTAGTATTTGATTAGCTTTTTAATATATACGCATATACGGGACGTGGTTTAGCGAAAATAGAAAAATGCTATCCATCACACTATATACACCAGGAAATAATGAGGGAACTCTTTAATCTTCAGTATTCTTTGAGGGATATCATACCTCAAGAAGAAAAATTCCATTTTTTCGATCACAATTAACTATATCCTCGAATATTTTGAATTCTCTTAAGGAACCGATTGTGAGATGATTATTTGATATTGTTTTAAATAATGAAAGCAGTAAACGTAGCATGATCAAGGTTACTCGATGTAATTATGTACGTGTCAAACTGTTACCCGAACATTTTCCAGAAAAAATTTCAAATATAATGTTACAAATAAAAAATATAAGACACATAGGCACAGGATACATGAATTAATACCATCCGTAGCAAAAACGATGAAATGCAATTTGTAAATGAGAAGAGCCGACGGCCAGAAATTCTATTATGGACATCATAATAATCATCGTTATTCGTCGGACGTTTAATATAGATATAATGGATAGTGGCGGTTATTGTAATAATTATATACTGTATATCCGGATCATTTTCCCAGTACATAAAAAATTCGGAAATTGAACAATCTATAATATAGTCACATGCAATAAATTAATTAGGAGTTCTCAGAAACAATACAAATGCACGTACGCTGCATGGAGAACACCCTCTGTTGGTTAGTTTGCATTATTTCCCCCTTAATATCATTTCATTCATGCACTGTTCGAGTGCCTTATTATTATCATCGAATCTATAAACAAAAAAAACGAGTTATTGCTGAAAGCAGTCACAAAGTGGCTATATATCTGGAAATCCTAGAAATTTGTGTGACTGCGCGGTACTGGAAAAATAACACATACCCGAATTGAATTCCTTATATCCTCCTCATTGACTTCTAGCTTTTTGTACGACGAGAAACTTCTTATTTCTGCTCTTTGAGATCCGCAATGAATTTTGCGGGTGCTATTGCTGGTCCTAATATCTGTTAAATCCAGAAAACTCCGAAATATTTTTGTTTATGTAAAACTGAGAAATTGTCATCATCGAGACCTAATTGTCTTGCCTTCGTAAATAGTCGATGTTTAATAACGTCCGTCATCGTGCGAGTTGACCTTTCTTCTATTAAAGCAGAGAGGATGTGGAAATTGGTAAGGAAGGAAGGGAAAGGAAGAAGCGCTGGGATAAGACATGTTATCGTTTTATATTGGTATATGGCTTTATGCATTGTGTTGCAAGAAGCTAGAAAATGTTCAATTGCGGAAAATTTTGTCCATTTTTAGTGGGATCGATGGGTTTATATGCGATAGAAGTTATACGAATGCATGACATGCAATTACTGTACTTTATTACACAGAATATTATTTTTCAGGGGAAAAGGGAGAGTGAACACGAATATGGCTGATTCTTTTTGAAAACGACAAAAATGTTATATACGATTTTTTGATCCCTATTTTTTGAACAATACATA